TCTCCACTGATGTGTTACTGTGCCTGCCATTTGGCCCTGCCCTAATGTTTGTTGCTGGACTCCTCTGAACTGAGATCCTGGGCCCCAGAAAACTGCACTGGAGCATGCTCAGCAGCTAGAGGGGAAGTGGAGCATCCTGGGCAAGTGGGGCTCCTTGGCCAGGGTGGTGAGACGGTACATAAAAACCATGTCCAAGTAGGACACATCCAAATAAGGTGCAAAAAGTGCCAACAAACCAAATGCCCATCATTAGGGGACTGGCTGCATAAATAAAAGTAATTTGTTCAATGAAATACAATGTAGCCATTTTTTTAAAAACCAGGTCATTATATGTTACTATGCAGCAACCTCCAATCCTATTAAGCAATATGCAGACCAGAATATACAGAATGCTTCACTTAAGTTAAACAACAACAACAAAAAGACTTTACATCTTTATCCACAGAGTATCTCCAAAAGGACACAGAAGGAGCTAATGGTAACTGGCTGCCTCAGGCAGAGGGAGGCGAAGGCAGCAGGGTGGGAAGAGACCTCATACTCTTTTGTATATTTTGAATCCTAAACCATGTGACTGGAACATCTCTTTATGAACATTAGACCTGAGGAAAAGGAAAGAAGAAAGAAATCATGCTTACCAAATAGAGGAAGAGATGAGTGGCCTACAGGTCTCTCCACAATTCTGTACTTACCAGGTCAGCTGGTTGAGCCATGCCCTACACTACTTCTCTGTCCTTCAGTGGTCATGACCTGTGGCCAGAGCCCTTGTGAGACACAAACCTTGATAAATTTCACAGTAGGAGAAAGGCAGCTCTCCTTCACTAGAGGTGACTTGACTAATTTTCCTCCTTCTACCAAGGTAGGACTGAACTATGATCTTCCCAACCTAATATTATTTGTACTTCCTAATCTTCTATAAAAATCTGTCATGTTTTGGCATGTTTCACAGTGCTGGGTATCTAGCCAGCACCTGTCTAAGTTGAGAGGTTAGCAAGGGTCTGCTGGGAGCCACATTGTGTTCTTGGAGGCAAGAGCTCACCCACCCCCACTCCCACCCCAACACTAGAGAGAATGAAAGACTGATTAGTGACTCAAAGACATTGGAGAATATGGTGTGGGGATACTGATCACTTCTGACTCCTAGGGCCTCTAATAATTGAGACCTGATTCAATTCTGGAAAAATTCAATGTGTAATCATGCTGATGAGAGAGACTGTCACCTGCCCAGTTATGGTCACATTGTGCCTCTCAACTCTGCCACTCTGCCTCTGCTGTCACAGTCTCCAGTGCATAGAGAGAAGGATCTTTGGGGACAGCACGTATTAAACAACTCACATCTATTATGTTTTTGCCTGTTCTGAGTTATGAGACCAGACCTTTCCCTCTCACCTCCAAAGTCTCCTTTCCTCAAACACATCCTGCCTATTACCTCCCTACTCAGGAGCCCAGAAGCTCTGCTGCTGGGCCAATGCCTTTGCATATTCTCCTCTCCTCTCTGGGAACATCCTTCATCCTCACTCCTCCTGTCTAAACCTCAGCCTTAAAAGCCAGATTCAAGTTTATCCTCCGCCATGATGCCCTACTTTGTATCACCTGGACTTCCTACTTCATTTGTTCTCAGTTTCCAAAGATGTCTCCTCAAACAGTTCTTAGTTGGCTTCCTTGGGCTTGGGACTTTCAATCAAGTGACCCATTCACCAGGGCCTAAGACCTCAGGCAATCTTCCCAGATCTACGTCAAGACTTCCCATTTAGACTGGAACACAGGAATCCAGTATACATAAGATTGAAGAACTACAAGCAAAACTTCCTCAACGAGGCTGAAGATAGGAAGGTGGGTCAATGAAGGATACCTTAACAAGGAGAAGTGGGGAAGGGAAATAAGCCAACAAAGGAACAATGATGAAATAATAAAGATGACTATTTGAAAAGTTAATAAATACACCTCAAAATTGTCCAAGACTCTAAATGATCAGGTCAGAATGAACTTTGCTGGAGCAAAGAGTTATGAAGAGACCCAAGGAGAAACACAATACTTCACTTTATTATTTTTTTATTATTATTATTTTTTAAAGATGACCGGTAAAGGGATCTCAACCCTTGGCTTGGTGTTGTCAGCACCACGCTCAGCTTTTTTTTTTAAAAGATGACCGGTAAGGGGATCTCAACCCTTGGCTTGGTGTTGTCAGCACCACGCTCAGCCAGTGAGCAAACCGGCCATCCCTATATAGGATCCGAACCCGTGGCCTTGGTGTTATCAGCACCGCACTCTACCGAGTGAGCCACGGGCCGGCCTTCAATACTTCACTTTAAAGCATTACATTTCAAAGCTACACAATGCTTAAGATTAATTATTCTGAGCTCATGTATCAGTAGTCTATTACACTTGAAAAAAATTTTTTTCTCTGCCCAAACAGAACTATTTCATTAGTAGGCTGAGAAGAATGTGGTATATAAGAAAGAATAATCATCATTGCAAGTCCTATTCTCTGAAATCTTCTATGGACAGAAAGAACTAACAAAGATGAATTAGAGCAATAGACTGTCAAACCCACACACTGTCTATCTAGGGTTTGGGAAGTAAAGGTAAGGACGTATGCACAATCAAACTCAGGCTTTGGCTTACTCAGCAGCTGTCCAGGGAGAAGGGACTTCCACATTCCTACTGGCTAGGTGGAGAAGTGGTCACTGAAGAAGTGGTGAGAAGAACTCGAGGCCTACTTGCTCTGATGCTTCAGGGAATCACCTGATACCAGTACATACACAGTCCTCACTATTTCTGGCGCCGTCTGGGAGGAATGGCCGAAGCCCCGAAGCCATGAAGCCCCATGCCCAGGCCATTATGTAAAAGAAACAAAACCCTTGGCTTGGTGTTGTCAGCACCACGCTCAGCCAGTGAGCAAACCGGCCATCCCTATATGGGATCCGAACCCGTGGCCTTGGTGTTATCAGCACCGCACTCTACCGAGTGAGCCACGGGCCGGCCTTGAAGTTTATTTCTGAACTAGGAGTAGGCGGAAAAAATCATCTAAGCAGACTAATAGCTAAGTAAAATTCCCGGGGTAAACTACTTCTTTCAAGTACTCCAGACCCCCATCTCCACATAGTTAACAGATTATTACAAACCATCAAATCACTAATGTACAAGAACCTATTCTAGGCGATTCGAAAATTCTCAAAAGATTATGAAGAAAACATTTCTCGACCCCATTTGTCTAATGCGGAGACTTGCCGGTCTAGCCCACCCTGCTCCTCGCTTACCTCGGAAGAGGCGACCCCGATCTTCTCGGACTCGTACACGAGGGACAACGACCTGCTAGTGCTGTCGGCTGTAGCCTCGGCCCTGCGCAGTATCTCCTGCCGCAGGTACTGAGACCTGTCCGCGGGCCCGTCGGGGAGGTCGCGGGTGTCTTCCCATGGGGCTGGCCGGGCGTCCTCGTCCTCCGCGTCATCATCGAACGGGTTGTAGCTTTTAGGGTAGGCCGACATGGTGCCGGCACTGGTCTGGGTCTGGGAAGGAGGAGGAGCACGGCAGCCAACAACCCAGAGCCGCGACCCGCCAGTCGGCCCCACAGCCGCCGCTCGAGCTTCTTCCGCCAGTTGGGCGCGGGCGGCACCGCCTCCGGACCCGACCATCGCGGCCGGCGGCTGGGGGAGAAGCACATCCAGCGCGCTCAACCGCGGCCTATTGTACAGCGTCTCTCCCCCTGCAGCGATAGGACCGCCCCACGGTCCCGCCCCACCCAGTGTAGGCAACAGAAAGGTCACGTGTCAGGGAAGCCTGATGTGTCTGCGCCTGCGCCGTGAGGTCGGGTGCTCGCTGACTGGGTGAGAGGAGCCGGCGGGGAGTGCAGTCGCGCGCGCAACGATGGCGGCGGCCGCAGCCCGGGGAAGCAGCGGCAACTCCGCCTCCGGCTCCGGCTCCGGCTCCAGCGCCTCGCGGGGTTTCTATTTCAACACAGTCCTGTCACTGGCCCGCTCCCTGGCCGTGCAGAGACCAGCATCCTTGGAGAAGGTAACCTCGGCGGCATCGGCCGAGGGCTGACAGGAGGAGGGGCCTGGGGCGGCGGAGCGGGGAGGTGGGGCGAGGGTCTGCGGGAGGTCGAGTCCCTGGGATGGAAGGGGGCTCCTGAGTGCAGGGAGCCGGCGGGGTGAGGAGGCCTGTGGGGAGAGGGGGCTTGTGAAGGGAGGGGCTGTGAGGGAGGGTTAGACAGGGCGGGCAGGAAGCTGCAGGTGGGTGATCGTGGGAGGGATGTAAGCTATGGGCCGTAGGGGAATCTTGTGACATCGCGGGGCCGGGGCTGGGACGTGGGCGTCAGTGAAGAGTAGTGGGATGAACCGAGGACCAGGGGTCAAAACCTGAGGCTCTGGTCCTGATTTCCCTTGCTTTTTATTCTGTGACCTTGGGGAGATGCCTTTCTTATAAAATGGGGGTCTTTTTACCTGCTTTGTCCGCTTCTCCGGATTGTGGTGGAGGACAGATGAAACGCTGTCTGCGACGCTTTTCAAACACTTTTTGAACTGCGCATTATTATTCTATGAGGCTGGGGGCGTTAGACTGGGTAAAAGTTTGTGTGTGTGGAGAAGGGACAGTGGCGGGGAAAGGGGAGTGAACTGTCAGTGGGCAGAGAACTGAATTCGGGATTTCTTTAGAAGAGAGAGGACAGCTCGTGCCAGAGGAATCTTTATCTTGAGGGAAAGGTGAAAGACAACTCAAAGGTGTGCTTGGGGTGGTAGAAAGGACATAGATTTTAGAGTCAGACCTAAATTTGGTCCCTGCACTGTCACTGTGTGTCATCTTCGGCAAGTTACTTCAACTCTTAGAGTCTCTGTTTCCTTATCAGTAAAATTAGGTTCTTGAGGATTAAATTAATTCAAGCATAAAATGCTGGCACAGAGCTTGGCAGAGTGGGTGAGTAGTAAATATCAGTTTTCTTCCCCCACTAGTGTGTGATGAGACTCATTACAGTGAGCTAGAACTGAAGAGATGGGATTATTTTTCCACACAACTTTCTGGCAGATGGGAAGGGGATGTTTCCTAACAGGATTAGGAGAGCAGTGGTGACTGGAGACCTGCCTGCTGCAGCTGGGAGTGGTTTTGTGGCTCTGACAGTTGTTGAAGCTGAAAGGCTCTTTTTGGTGCTTTGGCTGAATGACCTAGTCCTTGGCTTTAAAGGATCTCAAACTTGATTTTATCACTCACCTGCAGAGTGAGTAGGTCCTTTGAGACTGATGCCAACCTGACTTTTAGTTAAAGAGAGAGTACAGTAGAATGGAAAGAGTTTGGTTTGGGAGATAGGACCATCTGAGTTTAAATCTCGTATCACTTGGTTACACTAATGTGACTCTGGATAGGCCACTTCCCCACTGTGATCCTCTGCTTTTTCTTGTAAAAAACAGGGACAGTACTTGAGAGGAGTATTGTGAAAATCAACAAAATGACATGAATAAAGGCAGCTCCGTGGTCGCCTAATGAATGATCACTATTGTTGTTAGATGAGCCTGACTAATGGACCAGTGCTGTTTATTAAACCAAACTCATGCCAGCTACTCAGAATATTCTCTTCTTAATAAGAGAACCAACAGGCATATCAGAAGTTTGATTGTTGGATTCAGGGAGAACAGGGAAGAGAGTGCAGGGAATTGGATGATCTTGAAGAAGACAGTCATGCAGCTCTAGCAGGGGTAGCACCTTTTCCCATTCAGTAACTCTGAAAAGTGCAACTTGAGCTCAACTTGCCTTCTTCAGCCTTGCTCTGTAGTTACAAGAACATTCTGTAATCACAACATTGTTATCTTTGTATTTTGTCATAACTGCCTCAATTGTCAAGATTATAGTATATTTTGCAATTAATTGACACAGCCTCAGGTTGGCAGCTCCCTAATACCACTTACTTTGGGAGGTACTTCAGTCTTATTGGCAACATTTATCAATCACTTCTGTGGGGAAGAGTTAACAGAGCAGGTCTGAGGCTGTTGTCTTTACAAGAGCCTGTTTACAAGGTTGGCCCTTGGCTAGCACTTGAACTGTTCCCTCAATTTCCTAACTGATAAAGATGATTCAGTATGCCTAGATTCTTTGTACAAACAGTGCAATTTATGTCAAAGCCTGCTTTCTTTCTGGGAATCTGGTTGCTAGGCAGATGGCACCTACATGACCAGCACCAAATTAAAAATATCACACTCTGAGTCTCTAATAGGGTTTTTCTTGGGCACAAACATTGCACAGTTTTTTTGCTGCTGTAGCAAGGAGCAAGCTTGGTGTATACCCTCACAGGAAGGGTAGAACATAAGGAAGCCCATGCACAGGTTTTTCCAGATTCTACTTGTGTCTTTTTCCCTTGCTAATATCCTTTCACTGTTATAAAATTTAGCTCCGAATACAACTATGTACATGTAGGCAGTCTTGGGGACCCCTGAAACAACTTATTTCATTGGGGAGGCTTCTGTAGGTGGCTGATCCCATCAAATATATGTGAATTCCTCTTATCCTCATCTAGGATCTTGGGATTTGTTTATGCTAGGAATCACTGTAACTATTTAGTCCTACAATATATGTCTACTTACTACATTCACCTACTTTAAAACAATTGACAAGAAGCCCTTAGCATTGCAAAGGAAGAGTGTTGAGATTCTTAAAAGTAAAGGAATTTCTGAGTACCTACCTGGGACAATAAAGATGGAGACTTAGTGGAGATGAGTGTTAAAATCATCCCCGCCCCCTTGTTTCCATTTTTCTTTCTTCTCCCTTCTTCCAGAGAGAGGTCAGAGGACTGAGTGGAGCTTGGTCCAGATAGGGTTGACCTGGGGAAGGCTAAGTTTCCTGAACCAGACCTGACAGTTCAGACATTGGTAACTCAGGTAGCCATTTTATTTATTTTTTTGGTGTGTGGTGATGCTGGCTGGCCTGTACAGGATACAAACCCCTGACCTTGATGTTACTCTAACCAGCTGAGCTAAGCAGCCAGCCCCTGATTTTAGTTTTTAATTGACATGAAATAGTGGTACATATTTATGGGGTAGAGAGTATATTTCCATACATGTAACACTGTGTGATGATTAAATCAGACTAATTAGCATATTTATCACTGCAAACATTTATCATTTCTTTGTGATGAGAACATTTGAACTCCTCTAGCCATTTGAAAATATACAACTGACATGCTTTTAGTAGCACTTGAGGCATGTTAACCTTCTCTACCTTTGACCATCTCCTTGCCATAGTTGTGTTTACTTACTCCAGTCACCCATTCTAATCCCAGGCTGTGAAACCAACCTATCACTACTCAGTGGATTTTACTTTTCTTTAATTACTTAATTCAATCTCTTATTCGGAAAACATTTGTTGAGCTCATACAGTTTATTGGTATGTGTTAGACCAGGTAAATAAGACAACAGTCCTATTTTGGTTGCTCAAGTGACCAGCAACAAGTCAGACTTGCTGCAAGTCCTGCATCTACTTTTGTATCCCAGGCCTGGTGATCAGACTCCTGCCATGTGCAGATAGCCATCCCAAAACCCTTGGGCATCTGTCCTCTGACCTATGTCTGAGCTTTGACCATTTCCTGATAGGCTGGGTCCCTAAGACTGGGGTCCCACTCCTGAGCCCTACCCCCAGGATTGGAGCCCACCTCAGAGGATGCCCTCTGGACCAAGTTCTACTCAGACGGTACAGCAGTTTCCCATTCAGTAACTCTGAAAAGTGCAACTTGAGCTCAACTTGCCTTCTTCAGCCTTGCTCTGTAGTTACAAGAACATTCTGTAATCACAACATTGTTATCTTTGTATTTTGTCATAACTGCCTC